TATCACTTTTATTTTTGTGGGGAATACTTCATAGGGAGAACAGCATTCCAAGATTTAAAACCTAAGAGGGCGTTGTTAAAAAGTAGACAGTTTGGAATATGCAAGGTGTGTAATGTGAGGCACAATAATGAATCGCTTTAAAATTTAGATGTAACATTCAAAACTAGAGAATAATAGAATGTTTAATAAAGAATTGTCTGACTTGATTGGAAGAGAAATGCACAGCAGAAAAAAAAGAAATTAAGTACTAGCTAAGTTTTCATCAGTAGTACACAAACACAAATGACAGACGTCTCAGTGATAAAAGACAAACAAACAATGACCAAGGTTGGGTAGAAAGACTTTATATACTGTATGAGGTACTGTATATCTTGAAAACAGACCTTCATGCATAAACAACAGGGGGTGAATACAGAGCAAAATCACACCTATACTTTTGTATTCATGGACTGACATCCACAGAGATAAACACCACAGTAGACAAGAGACATTTAATCTATTAATTAAATATATTAAGTCACACATAATGTTGTTTAAATATATATGTACTGTATCTGTGCACATACATACTGTATATACAGTATAAATAGTATTACTATTTTTATTTATGTTGGGTTAATCAACATAACATGAGCTGAAACATTGCTTTTTCCTGAGTCTCATCTAGTTGTGGATTTCATAATTGTACATATTTTGTACAGGAAGGTTGCATTTAAGAAATAATAATTGTGATTTTATCAACTGAAACAATTGAGCACATTTGAATAGCCACCTTTTCCATCACATTCTTGAAGTGCACAAAGACCTCATCTCCTTTCAAGCTATTAGAATATAAATAGAATATATTGATTCATAATATAGTTAGGCTAGATTGACTTCTGTCATCATACTTGCATATGCACAACAGATGGACCTGACAAGATGCCACAGTCATTGTCTTGAGATTCATTACGGAAAAGGATTTTTATACAACAAACATGTAGGTTGAAGGGTTACTTTCTATAATCTGCCTGCTCCTGTTTTTTTCTGGTTTTCCGCTTCTTTCATATTTTGTTGTGTGCTCCTCAGCATTATGCTGGTTAGAAATTAAGAAAAGAAAAGGCTTCTGAGAAGATTATTCGAGACTGAAAGGGATGAAATAAGATTTGGAATTCTATCACACATGAAAGAGACGCAGAGAAACAATCCAGCCTGAATACACTCCAAGAATATATACAGTACATTTCTATATGGGAGTACTGGCTTTTTTCTTTGATTGCTTTGTAGATATCTATCAGTTCCACATGTGTCTTTGGATAATGGTTCAGCAGTGTGTTACAAAGACTTATTTGACACTAATTTGCTGTCATACCACACTCCATTTCTGCCAGCACTGAGAAATCAAGACCATTACTGCTGCAATAGGTTTTCAATATAAGAAATAACAATCGAAGCACAAAGCTACGACAGAGCAACAAGCGACAAGCTCTAATGGGAGAAGGCAGGTGATATTATTAAGCTGCCTCTTGGAAATACTGAGTTTATTATTCAGGAATGGGCAACTCCAGTCCTTGAGGAATGTAGGAGTTCTCTGGTTTTCTGTCATTGCTTATCATCTCTAATCAGACAAGACTACAAGGAAACCCGATCCAAGCATGCAAAATCCTAACAAAGGTACCCCAGTGGGCTTCTTGAGAATCAACACTGAAACAGGAACCACAGGACACAAGTGCGAACTTCATGGAAGTGTGTTAACAGCTGAGAACAGGAGGCACTTGTTTACATTACACAAAGTGATGTCGGGGCATGGAACACTCTACCTAGCCATGCTGTTGAAGCTTTTATCCTGGCTCTTTTGACATGAAGAGCTGCATTGGATTAATTAAGTGCTGACTCTTAAATGGGCTAGATGGACCAAATGGCTTCCAGCTTCCAGATAAAGTTCTTAACTTTAATTAATTGAACTTATTGTTTAAGGTGGATTTTTAAGTTCAGATGCCACTAATAGAAAATCACAGCCCTCTGATATATAATATTGTATCATAACATAACCCTGAATACAGCCACAAGCCTCAACAGTTAAATGTTTTATTATACTGTAGATATACAGTCCTGTATAAACTAGTGTAAAAATGTTTTGTCAAGACTTATTCCCTCTTGTCGGTTTATATAATGTATGTATGCTGTATGTTATGCCATGTACAGTATGAGTCATGTACAGTATGAGGTATGATTATAAATCATATATTATACATCTATAACCAGTAAACTGTTTAGAAATAAAGACCAAATTTAATTCCTTAAGACAATGGTACCCTCAAACTACATTGCTTTTTAATGATTATTCATTAATCATTATTCTTTGAAGGATACCCCCCACTACAGATCCTGAATGGATGTCCAAGTAAGGTGTGTAGTTCTAGGATTTGCGGGATATTTTGCCTACCTTTTCTTGGGCTACTCTAGACTTAAATTAAGCTGAAGAAGTCTATTTCAAGGAAAAGAAGTTCCAAAATGAAAAGATACCCAGTGGGTAAAAGACGTATAATATACGTCTATTAAACGCATACCTTAGATGTGGTCCGTAATTCATCTAGAATGAAATTCTAATATACGTTTATTGTTATACGTCAATTATACGTCTATGATTAGATGTTCATTATACATAAATGGTTGGAGTTCTATTATACGGATAAATTTAGAGGACTATTATACATTTATGGTTGGAGTTCCAGATAACTCCAACCATATTTCTGGCTTCCGGTCAAATTCCGCGTAGACTTTAAAATCCTCATGCTCACCTATAAGGCTTTACATGGCTTGGCACCTCAATACCTGTATGAACTTTTATCGCCCTACTCCCCACCTCGTAACCTCAGCTCTTCAAATTCTGCCCTCCTTACTGTCCCCCAAGCCCGTCTACATTGTATGGGCGACAGGGCCTTCTCCTGCTATGCTCCCAAGCTCTGGAACTCTTTGCCCTAAGATATCAGAGAGTCACCTTCTCTAAACTCCTTCAAATCCAGAGCGCTTTGAGAAGCCACCTTTAAAGGCGCTATATAAAATAAAGTTTATTATTATTATTATTATAACTTTAGAGGTCTATTATATGTATATGGGTAGAGGTCTATTATACGGATAACTTTAGAGGTCTATTATACATCAAAGATAGGTTTTACAGGTGTAGAAGCTAGTAAATCAATTTACTTGATTTAGTTTAGAAATTTATTCTGAAAATATACATTCACACCTGAAAAATATGTATTTCAAATTATACATTGTATACAATCATTCAACGATCAACATACGGGCAATAATCATAAAAAACACAACTAGTCTTAAACTTCAGCTACAAATTCTGGTAACATGGCAATATACAGTATAGTAATAACAAACACAAACTAATTACATTAACACACTAACTCAAAACCACATTTTGATTCAAATATAAATTTTAAAATGTACAACTTCTATATTTCCAAGAAAAATAATAATAAATAAAATATTACAATGAAAGTTAAGACAATTTTTGTCCCCTATTTGCAAACCCTGTCTAATTGTCCTAACAGTTAGAACAAGAAACCTATTATTTTCAGTGTCCAGATCTCCTGGCCCCCTGCCTTGCATATGCATTCTTCAAGTAACGCATTGCGTGCTCCTTTATTTCTTTTTCTGTTGATGTAGGGTGGGACTTCAGCACTGCAGCTAGGAGAAAATTATATAATATTACTTCCCAAATAAATGATGATTAATATCTTCTTTAGATTAATCTTAAAAATGAAAGGTTTACTAAGCTCAAAGCTGAAATAAATGTATAAAATTTGGCTTGCATCATAGCAGTTGAGCAATAAAGTCTGTCCTAATTAAAGAGTACCCAAAGTTTGAAAGTACAACATAGAATAAGAATAATTAGGGAAACGGCAAAACGATTTTGTGTCATCTTCCCCATTCACACTATTTTTATGTGCCATTTTTTGCTTATTCACGTACCATTTTAATCAAAATAATATTAAGAAAGATCTGTATGTATTCAGATAGTATTATTACTATTTATACTTACTCGTCAAAAGAGGATTGCTGAGATATTTGCGGATTAATACTTCAATCTTCTACATTTGAAAAACGTGTCCAAAATTGTGACCAACGAATACTAGCAATTACCACTAGCATTGTGGTATATAACCAGAAAATATGCTGGGTTAGATATGTTCTCAACGTATGCGTTTATTAATGTTGTCGATATTATGGTTGAAATTTAACATTGATAATACATCGCGGCTATGTGCCCCCTGCTATGTGCTGATGTGTAATTTTAATTTTATACGGCACTCTGCACAGTGTACAAAGTAAATTATTTTCGCAGTATTTAATTAATTTATTATACTTATTACTATATTTTTTATACATGTGTAAATAAATTAATTACTGCGAAAATAATTTACTTCGTACACTGTGCAGAGTACCGTATACTCCTAGTTGCGGCACACACGATATATACAGTAAAAAGCCTCAGGCACTGTGTTAGATGTGTTTTCGACGTTATACCGTATATGCGTTTATTAATGTTGTCAATTTTACGGTTGCAATTCAACGTTGATTACAGTATACGTCGCGGCGACGTATATATACGTAAAGCCGTATTTTCGCCGTGAATATATATGTATATTCGACGAATCACTGCCCACTGGGTAAGATCACTTTATTATCCATATACAATTTCTTGCATTACGAATTCATATTTTCACGTACCCCAGCTTGCTCTCCATGAGACACAGACACAGAGAGAAGCTTGGGGTCAGAGCACAGGGTCAGCCATTGTGCAGCACCCCTGGAGCAGTTGGGGTTAAGGGCCTTGCTCAGGGGTCCAACAGAGTAGGATTCCTCTGCCAGCCACAGGATTTGAACGGGCAACCTTCCAGCAACAGGCTTAGATCCTTAGCCACAGCGCCACCGGTCTGCAGGTGTCTCTTGGCACTATGATTCCAGTTTTAAAATGGTATTTTCTCTCTTTGTCTTTCCAGTTCGTGGCACAGCCAAACTGCCAGCAACTTCTCGCCTCTCGCTGGTATGATGAGTTCCCTGGGTGGAGAAGACGCCACTGGGCAGGAAAGTTCCTGACCTGCGTTTTCATTGGACTGATGTTTCCAGTCTTCTCCATTTTCTACCTGATTGCCCCCAAAAGCCGATATGGACTTTTCATTCGGAAGCCATTCATAAAGTTTATATGTCACACGGCTTCGTACTTAACTTTCCTTTTCTTGCTGCTCCTGGCATCGCAACACGTTGTAAAGACAGAGCCAAACAGACAGGGGCCCGCACCAACTACTGTGGAGTGGATGATTCTGCCTTGGGTTTTAGGTACAGTATTTAGCGATTTATACTTGCTTAAGATAATTTTACATGATTTGTACAAAACATTACAGAAGCTTTTTCACAAAATCAGCATAATTCGAACATGAATACAAATCTGCAATACCTATGAAAAATAATGTAGTTGCACAAGTGGCAATTTAGCCACCCGTTTTCCATTAAGAATTCAAAGCAGACGCTCATGACACCTAAATTACACTATTTCTTACACTCTATTGAACAGCAATATTAAATCAGGTTGGCAAGAGGTCAAATCTTCAGTTAATTTAAACCCTGCAAGTAAAATAAACAGAATAAATTACAATATTACAGTATGTGAAATGTTGGTAGTAGAAAAGAAAATTAGAATTGAAAATCAATCAACATACTGTTCTGTGGATTTTGCTTTGGTTCTGTTTGGCCCTTATATCGTTCTGAAAACATACTCCAAAAACCACACCTTTGGATCATTTAGAAGTGAACGTGTGACCATCTTCGGGCTTTCTGCCGCTCCACCCCGCAACACCTGATGCGCGAACCTGGTTCTCCGGCATAACATAACAGGGAACCAGCCGCATGAGCTAAAGGAGACCTCCCTCAGTCCAAGCAGCTGAGGTCCCTGCTATGCTCAGGGAGGGCGATGACATCACTGTGTCCAAACTAGCTCCACAATATCACATTGTAAAATATTTTCTTTGCTAAAAAAGTCTCTGTCAGACACATGACCGGAAAGAAACTGACCAATCAAAAGCAAATACTTTGTCAAAACATTGTGGTATCACCTCTTCAAAACCTCTGTTTCCTTAACCGGCTGAAATAAGTTTATAACATTGAAAACATAAATGTTTAAATATCTCAGTTCTATTTTTGATATCACACATTGTACTTCATTAGATACAAGTATCAGATTTTTTTTTTGTAACAGTAGTTGAGGGTTAAATGTTCTAAGTACTTACCAAACACATAAATCAGACACTGAACAGTTTTGGTCTTGTGATTTCTTCTCAGCGTGAGTCTGAAAAGCTAAGGAATGGACTGATTATGCATACAATCATTTGGTTGGCAATAACTTTCCATCCACAGAACAAAACAGAACAGTATCTTGCAATTTCTGATGAGCTCTTTCCTTCCCTTGGTAGGATTTATATGGACAGAAATAAAACAGATGTGGGATGGAGGTCTTCAAGATTACATTCATGATTGGTGGAACCTCATGGACTTTGTAATGAACTCTTTGTACCTGGCAACAATCTCTCTTAAAATTGTGGCATATGTGAAGGTAATGAGGTCTCTAAGATATTAACTTAATGTAAAGAATGCACATTTTCCCTTTGTCATTTCAATCGCTTGCAGATTCATGTAAATATGGCCTCAAAGGAATATGCAAACAAATACTGACTTTTCCACTCTATCTTCTTCTTCTTCTTCTTCTTTTTCACAGCCTTAGTCCCAGACTGTCCTGGGGTCAGCTGCTTTGGTTGCTCTTCTCCACTTGTCTCTGTTGAGCACATCTTCCTCACTCACTTCACATACAGTACCTCCATATCTTTTCTCACACAATCTATCCATCTCTTTCTAGGCCTGCCTCTTCCTCTGTTACCTTCCACCTCAAATTCCATTACCTTCTTTTGTTACTTCCTCAACGTCCCTCCTCATGATATGTCCATACCACCGTAACCTCGCCTCTCGCATCTTCTCAGCCACATCCACCACCCTACATCGTCTACGGATTTCTTCATTTCTGATCTTATCCTTCATTGATTTTCTTCTTTTCCACTTTTCCACTCTATGATTTACTATATTTAAAGCTGATTTAAAGTGAACATGCCCAAAAACTTATTTTCACTTGAAAAACACAAAACACAAAATATTTTCTTGTTGTACATTTATCAAATGCATGCATGAAATACCCCCAAAATCAGACATACTGTAGATATCGTATGTATTATTCATATTAATCTAATTTGTACAAACACACATTGCTTTAATGTAAATAACAAATAACAAAGTCAGTTTTGACTTTGCTGACTTAATCTTTTTGATCCAAACTGATGGGACCGCTAAATACCTTAGTATCAGAAACCTTTGCTTAGTGACAAGCACAACTTTAACTGCCAAAGCATAGTGTCAGTTAAACATGTATGTAAATGGAATTAAATAATAATATTAAGCATGATATTTTGACATTCTACATAATAACACTACCATACAAACATTTATTATTTACTGTAGGGATCCTCGAAGTTCTGAATGTGGAGATTTGATTTTGAAGTTCTTAAGTTTGACTGTTCTCCTGTATTGCTCTCCCCAGTACAGTGACTGTAAGTCTCGGCAACAGTGGGAAATGTGGCATCCTACCCTCGTGGCTGAGGCAGTCTTTGCTATAGCGAACATCTTCAGCTCACTGCGACTGATCTCACTGTTCACTGCAAACTCACATCTTGGACCTCTGCAGATCTCCCTCGGGAGAATGCTGCTGGACATTCTGAAGTTCCTTTTTATATACTGCCTGGTATTGTTAGCCTTTGCCAATGGGTTAAACCAGTTATACTTTTATTACGAGACAGAACCTTCGAAGGAGAACAATTATTGCAAAGGAATCCGGTGCGAAAAGCAGAACAATGCATTTTCGACGTAAGTACTGTAGGCCACCAAGCAATTTCAGCATTTGGACTATTGTCATAAAAAAAGTTCTACTTGGATGTCATTGTAATTTAATTCCTTTTAGTTTAACTTCAATTAATAGAATGTGTTTTGTGTAAAAAAGTGAAATGCTAAAGCATAATAATAATGTTTCTTTATATACTGTAGATGTATTTGCATCATGAAAAGAGAGACTGAAAGTACCAATTTCAGTAGGTAAAGATAAAGTGCGCATTGAATTGATAAATTACAATATTAACTTTTGCCAAATCTCTCTCTTCAGGCTGTTTGAGACCTTGCAATCTTTGTTCTGGTCCATATTCGGATTGATTAGCCTTTATGTGACAAATGTCAACGCTCAACACGAGTTCACGGAGTTTGTGGGAGCTACGATGTTTGGAACTTATAACGTGATCTCTCTGGTGGTCTTACTCAACATGCTTATAGCCATGATGAACAACTCTTACCAACTTATTGCTGTGAGTTTCAAGTCCATACGTTACAGGGCTCATTAGACAGGGGCAGAATAGTACTTACAGTATCACATACAATCAACGCTTTTTGCTGTATTGTCCATGGTCATTCATTTCAGAGCTAGATCATAGAAAAGATATATTATTTGTTTGAGTTTAGAGTATCTGTTACTCTTTCTGTCTTAAATAAGCTACTGGTAATTAATGAACTCCAGCTTTGCTGTTGAAAAACACCATTTCATTTGTGGCCAAATGAAATCAAGATGGCTGTACTGTATAGTTAGCTGGCCTTTCCAACAGATACACTGATAAACCATTACTGATGGCATAGGGCTGTTCACCTTTGGTCCAGGGGACACACTAATCACGTCTTCCTAATGATGGGGAGAACAATTAAAGATTGTTTATTCAGATACCTGTACTTCTGTTCCTCAGGACTGAAGGACATTCAGGTTTTTTATTGCTCTCAATCTCCTGATTGAAGCAATTAAGCAGTTTGATCGCATACAATTCAATTCTTCAATATTTTTTTTTAGATTTGGGATTACTTACTGTAGCTATAAAATCTGTTCATTAAACCTCCCCTGAACCAGAACCAGATACCTGCACTGGGACAGCTGCTTCATGTAGCTATTAGCTGTTTTGCTGCTTTTCAGTCTTGTAACGTGTCTGTCAGTCCATCTGTTTTTTCTTTTATTGTTTTTCTAGGATCATGCTGACATAGAATGGAAATTTGCAAGAACAAAGCTTTGGATGAGCTACTTTGAAGAAGGGGGGACTCTGCCTGCTCCTTTCAATATCATCCCCAGCCCTAAGTCAGTTTGGTACCTGATTAAATGGATTAAGAGACACATCTGCAAAAACGCAAGAGCTAAAAGACCAGAAAGTCTCGGATCACTAGGCGTAGGTTTAAAACCAAATGTGTTCACTAAAAATGCTAATCAATGCAAAGTTGTTACTTAAAGATTACATATGGTATATACTTATGTTAAATAAAACATACTTAATATATACAGTAATTCTATTAGCATATAGTAAATAAATATGATAATATTTTCCATATTTATTTCCATTGAACTGATAAAAATATAAACAGTAATGAGTGTCTTATTAATTTTATACATTAAAATGTTTAAGAAATATACAGTACTGTTAAGTTTTGTTTATAATACAAATATGACACTTTCTCGTAATTCAGGGTTGGGGGTTTATTCCACCTGAGGTTTTTTAATTGGTTTCTCAGATTAATTATTGAGAACACTCCATAAATGCTGTAAGCTGAAAACAATTTACAAAGTCTGGTTTAGCAAACTGTTGCAGCACAGACCAAATGTTTTGAACTGTGAAAAAGGTTATGTCTGCAGTAATTAAAAGTGAACATTGTGTGATTTAATTCTTTTTTTAACAGAGACGTGCAGCTGAAAATCTGAGAATCAATCACCAGTACCAGGTAATATAATACCTTAGTCCTGTCCTCATGTACTGTAGTGTTAAAAATGTCCACAATTATTCTTGGAATTGTAATTTCAGTCATTAATCTACAGTATTTTATATTTTATATGATGTATCCCTTGAAGCTACATTCAACGTGTACATTAAGGAGCAATTTACAATTGATTTTAAACAGCTGTAGCAATTCTGATACTGATTTCAGTCTTGTAATTATGGTTTAAAAGGAAGCAGATTGTAGTTTATTGAGGTGGAGTTTTCTGTGAAGTTCCACTGAAGGAAACTAAAAAATAAAATGATTCATATAAATTATTTTGATTCAAAATTATATTTAAAGTAAAGTTCAAATAGTTAAATTTTTGTTGATTAATAGAAGATTAACAATATCCTGTTTTTGTGCTCCTGGATTTCATATTCATGTGCATTGTGGGAATTTTAATGTGAGGTTATTTTATATATTGTAGGAGGTGCTCAGAAATCTTGTCAAAAGATATGTTGCAGCTATGATCAGAGATGCAAAGACAGAGGAAGGACTCACTGAAGAAAATTTCAAGGTAAATCTGTTATACTAGAAGCAGCAGATTTTTGATGGATGTTGAAGTATTTGTTGGCAGTGTTATATATTTTAATGTTTAACATTGTGCTTTGTGATTGTTTCTTGTGAATTTGCACATTACCAATGCATTGAAGCAATACATTTCATCTGCCACTCATTCTATTCAGTGTAACACAGTTATTTAATACAGGGAAGTACTGTATAGGTGTAAAAGCATGAAATAATTTATTATAGAAAAAATAGAAATAGAATATGAAGGAGCAATTTAATCCTCATAGGTTACAGGGCTCAGTACTTTAACTTTCCATTATTCAGTTAACAAAAAGACTGTGTAATTACAAAATTATAGAATAGAAAACTTTTAAGCAAAGTACCTACAAATTACAATGTTGAGTGCCTATCCTCTCAATTTCCACTTTGTGTCCACTGTTACTTTTTTCACTGGCTGTCCTGAATTAGTGTTTTAGGATTCTGTGTCCAAGGCAAACCAGACTAAGAGAATCAGTTCCTTTTTGTTATGCACCCAATGCTAGAAATTAAACTACTCACTTATCTTTGAACAAACTGCAGAGCAGTGATGTTGTTTTTGTTATACTGTATGGTGCCCAAAACTGTACACAAAGAGTAAGGGGTCTCTTTTAATGAAACTGGCAGAGTTTCAGACTGAGGTTGCAGCATAGCTGGACAATCACAAACATACAAATCCAGCGTAACTTCTCAGACACAGGTGACACATGTATTCTGGAATCAGATCATTTAAGCTATTGTCAGAGTGAACACAAAACATTTAAAATTCACAAATGTTGTTGGAAGGTTATTGATTGGTTTCAGCTGCACAAAATGTTTTAGGTCAGTTAGAAAAAGTAAAAATTAAAAAAAAAGGTTTCTTTAACCAACACTACTAGTTTTTAATTTGATGTTCACCTCTGGATAAGATATTGGACCAGACAGAGAGATTGAAAACTGTGCATAGCTGAATATAAAGCTACAAAGTTAAATATAAATCTATGCACTATGTTTATGTGAGGCATGGGATTTCTCCACACTCAGTAAATCTATTACAAAGAAAACCTTATAGGATATTTCCATTGCATGTGTTGAACAATTTGGACTTAAAACTCTGCTCTTTTACTATGACTTTTGTTCTCATTCTTAATGATAGGTGGTAAGGGTTAATCTTAAAAATGCATCAGTTGAGTATCTTTGATCATTAGCTTGTGAGCTCCTTGTTGCTGTAAAAGTGTGTTTAGGTTAATAACTGCTACTACTTAGTAATGATGTGATTATATGAAACTCATGTGATAATACTCACTTGAAAAAAATAATTACCTTCTTGATCCTTTAATGGATATATGTTCCTTTGTTCTCTATTGTTCTCTGTTCTTGCTCTAAAGAAGACCTGTTGGTCGAAACGCATCAGTTGAGCTTGCAGTGATTTTATTCAGTGAAATAAAAAAAAAATACTGCTTTTATGAAGAATTCTTTGTGGATATGGACTTGGTTTTTGTGGGAGTTGCTGTCTTATTTCCCCTTCATCGGAGGAGAATTTGTTTTATCCAGATTTCCCAGGATGTGACATCTCATGTTCAAAAAAACATTTTTTCAGGTACTTTTGTAGCGCCGACATATGTATTAAAAACTTGTAAATAATGTTTTGACAGCATCCCCTGTTGCAAATTTCTGGACTAAGCTGCTAGCATTTTATGATGAGATTCTTCTGTAAGAAAATAAGGTGTGAGCTGATGTAAGTCAATGAGACTGACAGGGACAGTTCCAGCAATTCTGGAGCCCCTGTAGTTCCTCTTTTCCACCCAGGACACACAATGGAAGGATGAAGTGTAAAAACACTGGCATATTCATGTGTTTAGTTTCATCTATGTGTACCAAAAATCACTAAAGGGACTGAAGGGCTTTTTTAACCCTCTAAAAATGAAAAACATTTGAAGTAACAATATCTCGCAATCACTCATCAATCATTTTTCACAGTAATACTCAAACTGGCTAATGCCCTATGGTGCTCATCTTGCCTCTTTAATCTGAACAAACATACTGTATAGACCTCTAAATGCATCTAGACTGTGTTACAAAGTAAAAATAAATAGTTACACCCAAACAAACAAAAAGTCTTCACGTCTTTTTTTTATACAGACAACTTCAATTCAAAACCTGCAGTGCCCCCTTGCTTTTACAGCACTCGCACTGGTGCTGCTGTCATGAACTCCAAATGCAAGTCAGTGTGGGCACATATCACAACAGCTGTTGTATTCCTCTGCCTAACTACAGTATATGCGCATGTATTTTTGAGGATGCCTATTACTGGCCCTAGCCCTAATTCTTTTGTGCCATAAGAAAGATATACATAGAGTTTTGAAAATGATTTGAAGCCAGGTGGCACCTCAAGATGGACTAAATGTGGATTAATATGTTGTTCTACTTTAGGCATGAGACCTCAACATCTGCAAGGGAGAAACAGGACTTTGTTTTCGAAAGATTTTTAGGAAGATGCTTTCACAGTAGACAGAGTATGCTCGGCAATGAAGAGATACTGTAGTACTTTCCTTGTGGAATGTTAGGTATCCCATTCCCCATTGCAGTATGGATGGAATCCACCGGTTCCTTTCAGACCATGAACTTTTTTTTTCTTCTATATACTTCATAATCGCTTCATATCACTGTCTTTCCATTATGATTTTTGTTTAAATGTTAGCAAATCTTGAAAAAATAAAGGTAATCAATTGTCTTAGTCCTTTCAGTTTCTTCTTGACATTTTCCACTGCATCTGCTGCAGTAAGCTTTATGTACAGTATTGTCATTGCATTGCAGATCTTTTGAATGTCATTTTGTTATTTTGTTTCTCATCACAAATTAATGTTGACTGATGAGAGGTTTTGCTTGAGACCAAGCAACAAAAGTCAATGTCTGAAGTCATCTTTTGCTACCACAACAGCTTTGTCATATGACTCAGTTGTACTCTTCTGTTATTATGTACAGTATAAAGGAGACCAGTTAGAATTTTAGTTTTAAGAAATGAATAAAAATAATTTTATTCTGTATAAACTCTCAAAATTGATAGTTTTTATTAAAGATTTAACTAGCTTGAAAGGAAAAAAAAATAGATTCAAATATACTTACCATATTTCCAATCAAAACATTAACATGTGTGGTTTCCAATTAAGTGTGGTTGTCTCTTTGCTTTCAACCAGAATGGATTGTGCCCCCTGTATAACTTTTGGTTCCCTGGAGATACCCTTAGAAATGGATGTTGGAGCCTGGGGGTGGGCAAAAAATACAACAAAAATCAAACATCCCCACATCCAAGATTATTCTAATTGCACTATTTTACTAATACTTTCCCAATTTCCTATTTTTTTTTCTTCTTACTGGGACACAAGCATGATGTTAAGAACTGGAATGACCCCAGGAGAACTGAGACATCTGGTGACCATATGTAGACAGCTACAAATAAAATGCAAGAGAGCATTATAACAAGACAAATTACAAGAAAAGAATTTCAAAAACAGAAAATTGCCTTTCTTCTTCAGCTGTTTTCCACAGCTTTAAACTTAAGTTTCTTCTCAAGAGTGCATTTTATGCCTCATCTGGATTAAACAAGAATTGATTGTTTCAGACTATATCTAAAAAAAGTTTATGAAGAATAGTGAAAGTTATGTAAATGAATAATTTGATGACATGAATATTTACCAGCATAGCCTTACGGGTAGTTTATTTTGCTTTGTTCTTTAAGAAGCAAACTCAATTATTAATACATTTGAAATGTTATATGAAATATATATTTTTGATGCTTTAATTATATTTCTTTTTTTTTTGTGGGTTTAGGAGTTGAAACAAGATATATCAAGTTTCCGCTATGAGGTTCTTGGGTTAATGAAGGGGAACAAGAGCTCAATGCCTGGAAGTAAACTGAACATAGGGGCCTCTAACCTACCACACTCTGAGGAGCAATTTAAATATTCCCCTGCAGTGAGTGATGCTCAGCCAAAGAGCAAACTTAACCTTTATAATGTAACTACTCTGCTTCAGCAAAGCTCAGGCTCCAAAGCTTCTGAAACCTACAATGGCCTGATAAATGGGTCTGCAATTTTGGTCTCTGAATCATCACGGGAAAAGGGTCAAAGGAAGGATTTCCCAAAAGACATTTCAAATTTTGCACTTTTCCATAGGCGTCAAAAAGTAACCAACCCTGGGCAGAATGCGGGTAAGATCTACTCAGTTTCTGAGGAAGTTGACGAATATGAACCAGAAGAAATAGCTCGTATAGCAGAAGTACCAGAAAAAGCAGAATCCTCTGCAAACAAGCAGTTAGAAACAGGTTTGAAAGAATGTGATGATGAACTGGACAAGGAGGTTGTGCATGAACTGTCTGCTTACTGTGACCCCAGTGAACGCTCTCCAGAGGATACAGAGAACCCCCAAGAAATGCCAGGCGAGAAGCATAATGAGTCAACAGAGAAGAATCAGGAAATTGAAATAATGGAGCATGAAAGTGAATTGTGACAATCAAATCTGTACAGACCATCAAGGAATGCTTCATTTTGTCAAAGTGGTGTCAATCTAGTAGTAGGACTGACTAATTACTTGAGCTGTTATTACAGGAAAAATGAAAAGTTCTGGTCTTAAACAACAGAAACCCATCAGAAGTTTTAAAGAGAGAGTCTTTGTAATCCACAGAGGCAAAATCTTGAGAGGACAGAAGCTGAATATTGCTCTTATGAGTCTCCATAGAATTTTGTTTCAAGAGAAGGAAAAGTGTGCTGGTTCTGAAAACTGGGAAACCCTTGTGTTTGGAATCATTTACATCCTGCCTGAAGGAGAAAGTTTATTTGTAGTGATGCAGACTCAGGGAATGGTGTGCCAGAATTAATAGGATTTGAACACACCTACCAAATGTCTCCTGTTTCCCTATGTTATTAACCCAGTTTTAGGAAGCTCTGTGTGAAGAAACGTATTACTATATTTTGACATGGCTAACTTGTCTGTTTTCTAAGGCAGGTGGTTTAAAAAATATATGTGATAGAAACAATTCAATAACAACTGTGTGCTGTCCTTTAAGTATCCTTTCTTATGTAAAGAGCAATATCTAGCATAGACCCTCTGTTCTGCAGCCTGCCTTAGAGTATACTGTTGTTTTCAGCACTTTACACTTAAGGATATTATAATATGTATAAAAAGGAATTTTTATGGTTTTGATGCAAAACAGTGTTTCTTTAACAATTTTTCTATGCAAAACTTTTCAATTCCTGAACTAAAATTGTAACTTTTCTTCTTTCACCCTATAACTTTAGGAAATAATACATGCATTCAACAGAGCTTCATATTTACTTGTTACTTACATTCCCTGTATTTATTTCTAAATGTAGTTAGAAAGGGTGTAATAATGAATGAAGAATGTTCAGATGAGACCATTAAACCTTAAGTATTATCGTTTTGTGGATATGTTCATTTGAAGTATATTCACCTAATTCTTTGTTTTTGTACCTTAATGCTACCTGTATTGCAATTCTAGGTGTGTGAGCCTCGTAATTGCACTTGCAAAAGGAAAGTAAATATACTTAATTTAATTTCAAGAACTTCTGAACTTAACATATAAAAATGTAATATAAGGGTATGCACAGAAAACTCTGCAGTTGTGTATTGTTTTTAGCCAAATATTTAGTGTTATTCCATGAAATTTAATTACAGTTGACAATGCACTATACAAAATAAATAAAGCAACATTATTTATTGTCTCTTTATTTTTTTAAATAAAATTATACATTCTAGTTTAACATTTGTGCCTAATGACTTCATTGCTCAAGCGATCAGCTCAAATCATTGCGCAATATTCTTATTGTGTGAGAACCACATAGAAACATCAAAATGGGAATAAAAATATTTTTGAGAGAGATTAAAGTGGGCATTTAAAGGAGTTCCTTTTAAACTTTAGTAGGAAAATGTGTGCACACTTACTTTTCCTGTAAAGTGAAATGATTTACCAGTGTAGCTGAAAAATAACATCCAGTCAAAAAATAACTTTTGAAGTAGTGTGTTGGATTAATAATAACAAATCTGTTTGAGTCTGTTCATAGTGTTTTATACTTTAGCATACAAAATGACTGTATAAGGTGAATTTTGTGAGTCCTGTAATAGCTTTCCACTTTTCACTTTTCACATGCCTTTTTTTCAGGGTTACTTATGTCATTAAGTTCTTAATGACATCAATTAACTAATTAAGAAATGACTGATTATAATTCTAGGTAGCACAGTAGTGTGATGGCTAGCACTGTTACCTCACAGATCTTAATTCTTGGGTTTGAATCCAGCCTGGGCCACCTTCTGTGTTGCATTGACATATTCTTCCTATTGTCCCGATGGATTTTCTTTGGATATCCTCCCATCTCCCAGAGACATGGTGGTTAATTTTCTAATTGTGTGTAAGCCCTCCAGTGCCCTAGCAACCCCATCAAGGAAGTAATTGGCCTTTACATTAGGGAAAAGTGGCAGATAATGAATGGATGATGATCATTTCCATCTGCCCCTGTACTTTATCAGATAAGGAAAGAAAGAAGCCTAGAAAAACTTCAGGTGTGGGCACCCCCAGTTTTGCTTATTGAGCATGCCCAAATTTCTGAGTTACAGTACTAGTGCATATTCAAAATGAATAAATCTATGCATTGTATTACAAAAGCCACACTGTTGCTTCCAGGAGTGTATTTTTCATACCTAGTTTTGTAATAATCTCTCGACTATTTGATATATCGGTAATAAAATTCTTCTGCCTCCAGCTCTCTTAGATGCAGCATGACAACCAAGAAGTGCTCTGACATCCTGTTATGCTCCTTTGCCCTAAATAGTCATGGATATAGTCTATATCATTCAGCAGAAAAGTTTGCAGAGAGTGAAAAGCTGTTTGTCAGTGAAAATGCATTTAACCATGACAATATACAGTACAGGGTATCAATGGAGTATACCCTGTGGAAGCCTAAGATAGCAAAAAAATTGCTTTTTAGCTGAAAGCTTTCTTTGTTTTTTTTCATCATATACCTACACACTATGGAATCATCATTTGATTTTAGACTCCTACCTCTGGTAATGCCTCCTGCACTCAGTTGGGGGAGAAAAAGATATTGCACATGAATGTGCTGCTCCCACATGCCTGCCTGTCTGTCACCTCAACAGTACTTCACTGGAGAGCTAGCATCAGTTGCAGAAACTGCATGTCTCACTGATGTCACTGCAAGCCCCCAGACATCTGGCAAATCACAGGAGTTTCCATTTGGCAGATATCTCCAAAAGGTTGGCTCATCCCAGCCTAGCATCGACAGCGCACTGCTTAAGCATGGGTGCAGTACTGCTTGGAAAATCCTGGTTGCAGATGACTATTGACATGACCCAGACTCAGACTGTTACTTTCAGGGAATCATGGGAGTAAAACACACTGTGCAGATAGAGGGGTAAGCACATATTAAAAGAAATGGTTGATTGTGAATAAATGCACAGCATGTGCTACAAAGGTACAGTATGACCTGTAATCAGAAGAGGTACAGTATACATGCTGTTACATTTAACATAAAGCTTTTCTTATTATATGTTACAGTATGTACTGTATCTGCTAGATGATTATATGCTGAGAAGCCTTGAAAACACAACAAATGTAGATTGGACCCAATAGCATATATATTTATATTATACTATACATGTTTAAAATAAAGTGCATTGATTAAACAGTATTCATGTTCAGACTTTATAAGATTGCTTTAATTGTGTTTAAAAACAATTTCAAGATTTACACCATGTTTTTTTTCCTAATCAGCACTCAAAAATAAATCTATTATTATGTCCATGTATTATCAAAAAGCTGCTTCGAAACAAGCCATAGTCCTTCAGGGAAACCTGAGGGATGTAATCTCATCCCTATCCTTGACAAATTAGGTTATTCTCTACAGGGTACTACTCCATCACAAGGCACACACTCAAATGCTGATAAGTGCATAATTCATAATTCCATGAATCCGTAGTTGACAGATAAGATCAATACGGGATCTCTGGCAGGCAGAACAGGTGTTGTCTCTGGAATTATCAGGTCGTGTACTTCACAATCCAGACATGTTTATGTCTCAAAGAGCCAAGTTCCTTCCCAGATATTCTCCTGATGTTATCTCCTTCATTCTGTGGTTGGTTATTAAATGCAACAAAGCATTCGGAAATATTAAAAATAGAGTCAAGATAAAGTATATTTTTATAAAACAGCTTTGATTAAAAAAACATTATTTAAGATCCCTTATTGGTACTCACGTCCACTTACATTGTATTTCTATTATTTATGGAATTGTACATATGGATGTAATTATAAAAAAAGTCATGTTTTTTAACAATAAGCAAGAAAAAAATGACCACAGTAAATATCATCCCAAATCCTTTGGCATCTTTTTAAGCGTTCATACCGTTTTTTGAAATAGGAGAGGTAGAAGTAGGCATTTTTCTCAAAATGTACATCTCTGAAGGAAAGTATTTTGAAATCCTCGTCCTCATTTCCAGAGTCTGCAATAGTGAGTCAAACTGATTAAAAATAAGAATGAAATGGCCTACACTCAGGCCAGAGGTCTAAAGAGTTTCTTCATTTTACCAGGAAGGTCAGTTGAGAACAAATTTTTATTTGCAATGACAATTGAGAGACCAATTTATGTGGCAGTTTATTTTTGCTAGAACAAGCTGAGCGAAGTACTTAAAAAAATACAACAGCTGTGGTACACCTGGAGTTTGAAACTACAGTTCTTCAGTACAGAGCCCTAATCACGACGCCGGTTTGCTGCCTGTCAATACAATCTGCTTAATCTTTATTCTGCAGGAGTACATCTCCTGTATGGGGTGCCCAGGAACACACATGACAAACATATCTTTATTAATCTCTCTTAATTTATATTAGATAAATTACATGGTTGAGTTTTGTTCACTAATTACAAAAATGTATGTCTTGATTTATTTTTTATAAAGGCCAACTAAATATTCTCATTCAACCTCTGCACAGGTAGATATACAGTAAGTGACATACATTAAATGCTTATGTCCTCGGCCTTCTTTATGCTTATCACATTATTTGCAGGTGTGATGTGATAGAGTTTCAATTATTCTTATATAATAACACATTTCATTTCTATTACACAGGTAATGTTTGTGCATGGGTAGTTATTTCAATGACATTGCCTTCCTAGAACATCCCAAATGCTGCTATTGATGAAAAGGCAAGTCTTTTTTATTTAAGTAAGCAACAGATACAGTATGTGTGGGATGGTGGAGCAGTGGTACAGTAAGTATTGCTGCTTTGCAGTGCTGGGGCACTGGGGTTAGTTCCTGGGGTGTTATCTGCATGGAGTTTGTATGTTCTCCCCATGTTTTCTTGGGTTTACTCCAGTTGCTCCAGTTTCCAGGTTCCTGTTGCAGTCCTATAGGATAATTGACCTACTGTATGTAAAGACTTGTGTGAATCCTGAGATAGACTGGCATCTTGTCCAGGGTGTATCCTGCCTTGCATCCTCTGCTTGCCAGGTTTGGCTACAGCTCTCCCTATGACCCTGTGTTGGATTAACCTCTTTAGAATAAGGATGGGTGGAGGGAGTATGTATTGGACTGTACTACAGCCATTGTGAATGAGACTGAGATTTAAACAGGAAAATCAGATTAAAAAGAAAATCAGTATATATTTTTTCCAGGATGTAAAAAAACTTGTTGAATTTAATGTGACAGAAAAAAGATCTGTCACATGAGAGCTTAGCAGTTCAGGGATTTACAGTATGAATATGGTCAGAAAATGCATGATTTATAAAGAGTTTTATTCCTTGTTCTTATAATACGTTCTCCTAATTACAGATGACGATATTTTGCTTGACTGAACTTGATCTTTTTTTTAATAATAATGGGCAAAATCATATGCGTTCTCAGGGGACTGTAACTGCACAAGAGCTATCCTGATGCTGGATAGTTGATGGAAAGTATTGTACAGCTATCTTAATGTAAACTCAATACATTCCTTTTGCTCAGATTTTCCTTTGCTATTGCATGTTGGTTAATTTTATTGTGCTAATAAATTAGTTTTATTTAGTATTATTTATGCTCTTTTATGGGTATTAACTGTACACATAAGGAAGGAATTAGGTCCACAGTATCATTTAGGGATGTGTGCACTTAATTAGCAAAGGTTTGCAATACTTCAATAAAACAGATCGGACTGTCTACCACAAGACTTTGACTTGATGCCATTTGTAGTGTAATAAATGCAACTTCCCAGACGCTTGATCTGCATTTTTTGCTATTTTACTTTCATTAATAAGTAGATATGGATAGTGTTTCTGATTACTTACCACATTTGATGAACATAGACCTCAAACATCACCCAAAGTCATTTGCTCAATTTCTCAATTTACTCAACTGGTAAGAAATTGCTGTGGGAGAATTTAGCCTATATTACCACTCTTTACTTATTGTTCTGTTTTGTACCCTTAAAATGCTCAGCCACAAATCTGAAGAATGCAGTGCCAAGACTCTTTATTATAATAAGTGGCATTGTGGAATGAATTGTTTATAGAAGTAATTGTTCTTGTGTGAATGTACTGTAAAAGTACAGTACAGTATAGTGGATCATTGTCATTTACATCACTTTGACCACTGTACCTTTGATCAATACGACGTCTGTTGTATTTCACTCTTATCTTTCGTTTCTTGTGCCTCTACAGACAGTAGAACTTTTCATAGA